CATTAACGTTATTGAAACTGACAGCTGCTATACAGCTCGTTGAGAAATGAGGTTAAGTTGGTCGCTATAAGCTACTCCCTACGTCCAATGTGTCAGAGCCAACTTCGACCACGTTTTTATTTGAACGCTCGTTATTTGAACTTAGAAAAACCAAATTTGGATGGTGTGAATGTATAAGAGGATTAATTGACAGAAAGTAGAATTCAATTGAAGCATTTCAAAAGGGTTGATAAGGGATGATGCACCATTACTTAAAATGTAACAGAATTGTTTAACCCGTTGGTGGACTTATGATTATTACTTTATTTTGTGGGAAATTTAATTCTTTAACTTTTCTTGCACTTGTTAATTTTCAAAAAAATTTATCGTTTTTGACAAAAACACAAAAACTAATAACACTGAAACTGTTATTATTTAAAATAATTCAAAATTCAAAAATTGTCTATGAATTAGAACGTCAAACTTGACAACCCATCGATTTTCTTAAAAATTTTTAGGTAAATAATAATAACTAACCTACCCAAAACTGCATTCAGTTTCTCTGGTGTTACCAATTTTCGAGATTTTACATATTTTCTTTCCAAACTTATTTAGGTGTCTGTTGGGTAGGCAACACATAATACATGCTAGTGTATACTTGGCTGCATAAAAAAATCACACATTTTTCTATATTTTAATAGTTGTCAGTTTTCTACTTGTATATTTTATTAATACTTAATAGAAAAAAGAAGGTCTATTAATGAGCACAGGTTTGTGAAGGATTATAGATAAATGCATTAAAAATTAACAACTCTTTAAAGAGACAAAACTGCCTTTAAATGAGCACTAATTATTTGAAAATTTTCATAGATTTCTATTAATTTTCTCGAATAGTTTTAGAAAACTGAAAAAATTCAGATCCTTGACCAATCTTTACTTTTATTTTACTTATATTTACTTTAAAAACTTAAGCTTTATTTACTTAAAAATACATTTACACTCTTTGTTTTCAACATGCAACCAGCAGAGCATATTTGTTGTTATGAGTGTGATGCAACCTTTATGGAGACAAAATATGAGGAGAAAACGTATAATCGTTAGTGCTTTTTTCTTTAACAGATGGCGCCATCTAATTGTTAGAAGCTTAATTAATTCAAGAGATCTGTAACTGAAACATAGTTACCTGTAATAGGGAAACTTATGAAGACCTCTCGTTAAGACGGCCACTTCTGACAGAGGAAAACTAAATGGCTCCACCAACAAATTATTTCAAAGATAATAAATTTAGAGGAACTAAATTTATTGCAAATGAAAAGTTGTAAGGGTTTAGCATTTGTTGGAGCTCCTAATGACATAAT